TTGACAAATCAAAAATCAGGGAGAGGCTTCTTTTAAGAGCCACATCAAGCAAGTAACACAGAAACACTTTTTAAAAATTAAAAAATAATTTGGAAATTATTAGAATAATTAGACAACTTGTATTACAGTTTCTATCTCTTGGTTAGCACTTTTATAAGAGCATAATGTTTACTTTGTAGAATACATTTTTGTCATAGAATATATTTTCAACTCTTAATTACATAATGATTTATGTATTTAATATATATTTCCATACCAGTGATTACATAATTTTACAACTCCTATACAATGAGGTATCTCCTAAAATTTTTAATTTACATAGTTGTAGGCCCATTAATTCCAAAATTAATAATATACAGAAATAAAATCACTAACAGTATTGTTCATAGTGCAGAAAACTGGAAACAAAGAGAATTCACATTATATCAGTTTAGAGTAGGTTATGCCAACAATCATAGACAACCCTGAACTCTCAGGGGCTTAACACTACAAAGTCTTATTTCTTATTCATACTACATGACCATGAGGGGTTTGGGGAAATTTTATTCTATGTAATTTTTACTCACAGACATAGAATGACAGGAGTTTCATCATCTGTAACATCACAAATTGCTGCAGCAGGAGAGAGTGTGATAGAAGGTCTCACACTACTAATCAAATACTCTGTCACAAGAGTAATTAATGCACAACAGTTCTACCTAAAATTTTGGCCAGAACTTATCATATAGGCTCACCAAGATGGGAATGGAAGTCTAATCTTTTCACATGCCCAGAAGGAGACAGGAAAACAACTAGGTTTGGTGATCATAAAAGTCTCTATCACATTTTAATAAATACCTGAATTATGGTACATCCATGAAATATTACTACAGCTATTTAAAAGAATGAATTGGAAGAATGCCATATGTTACAGAGATTTTCATGAGATAGTAAGTAAAGTCCAGGTGGGACTTTATTATACTTTATTATATATACTGAAAAGTATATATATCATCCCATTTTCATAAATTAACCATGACCAGAGAATCCTGTGTGCATACATGCATATGTGAAAATATGTAATTAAGTACTTTATATTTATTATCAACATCTATCTGTCACTGAGAAAAATAGGAAAGATTTTTTTCCCTTAGGAGAGGGAGATTTGGCAGAGGGGGGCCTTGATGTGTGTAGCGAGGGAAAGAGAGAGGGTGAGGACGAAAGCAAAAGGGGGGATAAAAAAAAGGGCACTAAGATTTTATAGGATTATATTTATGTACTGATGTAAATTATGTATATGCATATAGAAAATCAAGTCATTTTTCAAAACTATCTTTTCCTTTTAATTTTGATTGCTTTTATGATTGCCTCAAATTACTGATCTGTTGAAATTAAATCTTTTCAGTTCCCTCCAGCTCTACACTCTATGATTTCATAACTTAAATAATATTAAGTCTTATCTGTCTCCTACTTGTTATTTCCTATTTCCAACCCAGAGCTGACCTGCCACTGATTAAAGTTCTGGATGTACTTCTATAGCCTGTGGACTATTAATTATACTGAATTCAGGTTGCCTGAATTATAAATAATTTATTTCTAACCTTTATATCAACCAAAGCAAGTTGCTCTTTGACATCATGAATTTACATTTACATGAAGTGGGAGACATTTTATTACTGTTAAAGTGACAAAATCATGGATATTTTTCTTAGGCTAGGTATTAGATATAATCTGAAAGTCTGGAACTTAAATTCTTAGTCTAAGAAATCTTCCCATATCCCACCTGGACTATTTCAATAGCTGCAATAGCTTCACCCTGTTCCAATTTACCTTTAATGAGCTTTCTAAAGATTGCTATTTCCTCTGCCTTAATTTTCTCTTGTCCTTCTTATACACCTATAACTTTTTTTTTTTAAAGAGAGAGCGAGCATGTGAATTGGGTGGGGAAGGGTAGAGGGAGAGAGAGAATCTTAAGCAGGCTCCACACTCAGGAGAGAGCCCGAGGCAGGGCCCAATCTCACAACCCTGAGATCGTGACCTGAGCAGAAATCAAGAATCAGTCGCCCAACTGACTGACCCACCCAGGCACCCCTATAGTATTCTTATTTATGTCCAAAACTCATCTCTTCTAGAAGGCCTCAGAAGCCAAAACACGAAATTATCTTTCATGTCTCTGTACCTTACATTTACATACTGTTGAGTTACTTACATTATGATTCAATTGTTTACACATTTATATGTTTTTATTATGTTCAGTTAGCCACCATATAGTACATCATTAGTTTTTGATGTAGTGTTCAAAGATTCATCAGTTGCATATAACACCCAGTGCTCATCACAACACGTGCCCTCCTTAATACCAATCAACCTGGCTACCCCATCCCTCCCCTCCCCGAAACCCTCAGTTTGTTTCCTGGGGTCCATAGTCTCTCACGGTTTGTTTCTCTCTCTGATTCCCACCCCTTCAGTTTTCCCTCCCTTCCCCTATGGTCTTCTGTGCTATTCCTTATGTTCCATATATGAGTGAAACCATATGATAATTGACTTTCTCTGCTTGACTTATTTCACTTAGCATAATCTCCTCCAGTCCCATCCATGTTGATGTAAAAGTTGGGTATTCATCCTTTCTGATGGCTGAGTAATATTCCATTGTATATATGGACCACATCTTCTTTATCCATTCATCTGTTGAAGGGCATCTTGGCTCCTTCCACAGTTTGGCTGTTGTGGACACTGCTTCAAGGGGGTCTCTTCAATAAGTGGTGCTGGGAAAACTGGACAGCTACATACAGAAGAATGAAACTGGACCATTCTCTTACACCATACACACAAAGATAAACTCAAAATGGATGAAAGACCGCAAGGTGAGATAGGAACCCATCAAAATCCTAGAGAAGAATATAGGCAGTAACCTCTTTGACATCAGCCACAGCAACTTCTTTCAAGACACATCTCCAAAGGCAAGGGAAACAAAAGCAAAAATGAACTATTGGGACTTCATCAAGATAAAAAGCTTCTGCACAGCAAAAGAAACAGTCAACAAAACTAAGAGGCAACCCACAGAATGGGAGAAGATATTTGCAAATAACAGGGCACATAAAGGGCTGGTATCTAAGATCTATAAAGAATTTCTCAAACTCAACACTCAAAAAACTAATAACCCAGGCAAAAAAGGGGCAGAAGACATGAACAGACATTTCTGCAAAGAAGACACACAAATGGCTAACAGACACATGAAAAAATGTTCAACATCACTAGCCATCAGGGAAATTCAAATCAAAACCACAATGAGATACCACGTTACACCAGTTAGAATGGCAAAAATTAACAAGGCAGGAAACAACAAATGTTGACAAGAATGTGGAGAAAGGGGAACCCTCTTACATTGTTGGTGGGAATGCAAGCTGGTACAACCACTTTGGAAAACAGTATGAAGCTTCCTCAAAAAGTTAAAAATAGAACTACCCTATGACTCAGTAATTGCACTACTAGGTATTTACCCCAAAGATACAGATGTAGTGAAAATAAGGGGTACATACACATTTATATTTGCTACTGGACATCAAGTCATTGAAAGCAGAGATTATACATCACATATATAATCTCAAATCCAATGATTTATGCTTTCAGGTATTGATACTCAGAAGGATTTGACACAGGGGAATACTCCCTTCTTGAATCACTTTGCTCTTTAAGATTCCATGACCCCTTACACTTCACCTGTCTCTCCTTAATCTTTGCAGCAACTCCTCTATTGCTTGACTTTTAAGTGTTCCAGTATCCCAAGGCTCAGTATCAACTCTTTTCTCTTCTATAACTATACACTCCCTATCCATAAAGAGAGTGCATTCAGTCCCAAGCTTTAAATGGCATGTATATGCCAATGACTACTAAATAATGACCCTCCTGGAGAACTGCAGATTCATTTGTTTAATGACCTACTCAACTGCTCCACTTAGATATCTGAGATATTTCAACTATTACATAGTGCCTCCCCCCCCAAAAAATATTACATAGCTTAAAATAGAACTTCAAGACCCAACTTTGCTCCTTCTCTCCCTCACCTCATTCTTATTTCAGGCCATTATGTCAGCAAATCTTTTTGGTGTTTTTCCCCTTTTGCAGCAACCTTGGAAGCCAGTTGTTGAGCAAGGCAGAACTAAAAGTTGGAAGGAGCCAGGTTTTCTGAATCACTGCCTGAGGAATGCTGCTCTCTAAATATGAACATTTATGTTGGACTTTAGAGAAGTGAGAAGTTGATGAACGATCAGCCAAAGAAGCTAGCATTACCTCAACTAATACACTCGTCTTGTTTTATTTTAAAATGTTTGAAAATACATAGCTTCAAATATGAAATATCACATTATCGGGCGCCTGGGTGGCTCAGTTGGTTAAGCGACTGCCTTCGGCTCAGGTCATGATCCTGGAGTCCCGGGATCAAGTCCCACATCGGGCTCCTTTCTCGGCGGGGAGTCTGCTTCTCCCTCTGCCCTTCCCCCCTCTCATGCTCGCTCTCTCTAATAAATAAATAAATCTTAAAAAAAAAAAAAAGAAATCACATTATCAAGACTAATAATGCTCTAAAAAATACTTGCTCAGGAGACTAATTATAAGATTTCAATTAAGATATCAGAAGCAGAAGTCCCAAAGCCATATCCAGGTTTATTTATTGTCTATTTCCCTCACTAAAATGTAAGCTCTAGAAGAACATAGGGTTTATTTTTCTGTTTTGTTCATTGTCATATCTCCAGTATCTAGAACTGTACTTGACTCTTAGTGGGCACTCAATAAATATTTGCTTAAATTAATGAGTGTTGAATAAATAATGTTAGGAAGCCATACTGGTATAGTCTTTTTTTTCCTACAACAAAAGGCATTTCTCAATTTTATAAACAGATAAAACTGTTTCAGAACTGTGAAACTTCAACAAAATGACCTTAAGATTTAAAAATAAGTATCAATATTGTGATCAGCTGTCCAGATGACCTCACAGAATCAATGAAAAGCATTTATTTGCATCAAGATATTTTAATAAAGAATAAAGAATAAATCTCAATGGATTCCTAGCAGCCAGTGGATAACTTTACAAATTTGAAAAATTAGCTAAAACAGTTTTCATGAATACAAGAAAAGGTAAAAACAAAACATAATCATCTTATTATTGTAATAGAATTACAAGTTTTCAGGTAACATGTGGTAATTTAGGCCAAAACATAAAAATCATAAAAAACAAATTATGCAAATATAAAAAAATCTCAATGTCAGAAAATGTTTGGCTCTTCAGAAAATAAAACATTTTTAAGTTGACTATAAATTTGATGTTATTAGGCTCCTTAATCACATTGATTTTCTGAAATTAAACAAATAGCTTTTCTGCATCCTTTAGTTTTTTTTTCCTATCCATTTTAGCAATTACAGCCCAACGATCTTCCCGCATTTTCCTCATAGCTCCAAACTTCAGCGTAGATCCAGGGGTTGTTAGAGATGAAGGGGTCTGAATACAAAATAAAATCAAATCAAAATATGTTTAATTTAAAAAGATAAAGTCCAGCTTTTGAAACTTGCTTTCTGAAGTAAAAATTTAAAACTACCTTTAAAAAAAAATAAACTACCTTTTTTGGTGTTCTGACACAAAGATGAGAAGTTGTTGGATTATTAGTCTTGTATAATTTTTTCAATGTCTCTTCTTCTGAAACCATGCTCTTAAAGAAAAATACAAAATTATAATTTGAGGTCTGTCATCACTAATATTAAAATTTTGTCTACATATCACAGAGAGGAGGAGAAAGACAAGGAAGGAAAGGGAGGAAGAAAGGAGGTAAAAGAAGGGAGAGGAGAAAGGAGAGAAAAAAGAAGAAAAACTGAAGACAATGACAAAATACTCAATCTTCCAAACAAGGACATGGGTTTATATTCTATTAACTATATTGTATTATATGAAATAATAATAACTATACTGTATTTTATGAAATACAACATGTATATGAATAGTACTTTTCTACTTCTACTTCAGTTTGTCTTTATACTACTACTTTTCCTCCCACTTTCCCTCCACCTATCTACTCAAACTCACACTTTAGCCTTATAATAAGCATGTATAATCCTATAAAAATTATGTTATCAACTATCGATTTATGGGTATTGTAATTCCCCCAAGTAATAAGAGCTAACACTTATTTAGTACTTTCTTTATGTTAGGTGCTGTTTTAAGCACTTTGCCTATTTAGTTTTAATCCTCACAATAATTTTAATAAATTAGGTATACCATCATTATCCCCTTTTAAAGGTGAAGAACTGAGACAAGAAATGTTACATACTTTGCCTAAGATTACACAGCTAGTTAAGAGGTGGAGCCAGGATTCAAATCCAGAGAGGCTGGCTCTAGAAATCCACTTTCTTAATGAATATGCTACACAGATTTAGTCTGGTAAGCAATCAGTTCACATTCCGTTCCTGCTCACTAATGTCACATTTACAGAGGTCTCATGAATAAAAATATTCAAACAGATTTTCATGAACTCTAAGATTTTAGCAGAATTCAGTAGTAAGTCATAACAAGCTGCCTTTTCAAATACACTCAGAACCACTATGTATCAACTGACCAGCTTTAAAAAGAAAAATTATTTTAAAATCTTGTAAACTATCATTAAAATTTTACTCAGTGCATAGTAATTATTCATTAATGACTGCCCATATAAAAATAATTAACCCAATTTAAAACAAAACCGTATCTGTCCTTATAACTCTGCAACAATCATCTTCTCATGTGCTTATTGGCCATTTGTATATCCTCTTTGGAGAAATGTCTATTCAAGTCCTTTGCCCATTTTTAAATCGGGTTGTATGGTTTTTGTTGTTGAGTTATGGGAGTTCTTTATGTATTCCATACGTTTATCCCTTTCCAGATATCTGATTTGAAAATATTTTCTGCTATTCTTTAGCTTGTCTTTTGATTTTCTTAATGGTGTCCTTTGGTGCACAAAAAGTCTTAATTTTGAAGTCAAATTTATCAGTTTTCTCTTTTCTTGCATGTGCTTTTGGTGTCATACTCATGAGGCCCTTGCTAAATTTGAGGTCATGAAAATTTCCCCAATATTTTCTTCTGAGAGTTTCATAGTTCTACACTTAAGTTTTGGTTTTTGATCCATTTTGAGTCAATTTTTATATATGGTATAAAGAGTCCAACTTCATTCTTTTGCATGTGGATAACCAATATCCAGTTCTAACACCATTAGCTGGAAAAAAAAAAAATGTCCTTTCCCCCACTGAATGGCCTTGGCACTCTTGTCAAAAATCAACTGACTATATATGTGAGAATTTATTTCTGGGTTCCTTTATTCCATTGGTCTATATATCTGCCCTTATCCTAGTACTAATCTGTTTAAATTACTAGCTTTGTAGGAAGTTTCAAGGTCAAGAACTATGAGTCCTCCAACATTACCCTTCTTTTCCAAAAGTGTTTTAGCTATTTGGGGACCCTTGCAATTCTATATGAATTTTAGTATCAGATTTTCCATATCTGCCAAAAAGCTGTTGGAATTTTGATAGAGATTGCACTGAATTTGTGGACTGCTTTGGGTAGTACTGACATTTTTTAAATTATGTTCAATCAGCCAGCATATAGGACATCTTAACATCCATAAACACAGACTATTTTCCTAATTCTTTAGGTCTTCTTTAATTTCCTTCAGCAATGTTTTGTAGTTTTCATTGTATTTCAATATTTCACCTTCTTGGTTGGGTTTGTTCCTAGATATTCTATTTGTTTAGATGATATCATATATGGATTTTCTTAATTTTCCTTAATTTCCTTTTGGATTAATCATTGCTGGTGTATAAAAACATAATCAATGTCATGTGTTCTTATACCCCTCCAAATTGCTGAATTCATTTGTTAGCTCTACTAGCCTTCTTGTGGAGTCTTCGTGATTTTCATTGGATAGGATTATGGCATCTGCAAATAGTTTTACCTCATTCTCATTTGTATGTCTGCTTTCTTTTTCTCTCCCTTTGTTTTTTGTCTAATAGTCTAATAGCTCTGGCTAGAACTTCCAGTACAATGCTGACTAGCAGTGGTGAAAGTGGACATCCTTGTCTGGTTCTTAACTTAAGGGGTAAGTTCTCAATCTTTCACCATTGAGCATGATTTAGCTGCAAGTTTTCATAAGTATTTTTTTATCATGCTGAGGAATTGTTCCTCTATTCCTAGCTTTATGAGTTTCTATCATGCAAAAATGTTGGATTTTGTCAAATGCTTTTTCTGTACTAATTGAGATGATCATATGGGATTTTTTCCCCTTCATTCTATTAATGGTGACATATTACATTGATTTTCTTATATTGAACCACCCTGGAATTTCTTGGGATAAATCCCACTTGGTCATGGTGAATAGCACTTTTAATATGATGTGGAATTTGACTTGCTAATATTTTGCTGAGGATTTTTACACTGACGTTCATAAAGGACAATGGTCTTTAATTTTCTTTTCTAGTAATGTCTTTATCTTACTTTGGTATCAAGGTAGTGCTGGCCTCATAGAATGAGTTATCAAGAGTTCTCGCTTCAATTTTTTGAAGTCTGAGAAGGTTAGGTCCTCAAATGTTTGATACAATCAATCTATCAATGAAGCCATCTGGTCCAGGACTTTTCTTTGAGAGGTTTTTGATGACTAAGTCAAATTCTTTACTGACTATAGATAGGCTGTTGAGGTTTTAGATTTCTTCTTGAATCAGTTTAAATTGGTGTGTTTCAGGGATTCTACCCATTTGTCCATTTCTTCTAAGTTATGAAATTTGTTAGCATATATTCACAGTATTTTTTATCTCTAAATAATTAGTAATAATGTACCCACTTTGCATTTCTGATTCTAGTTATTCACATCTTCTTAGTCTAGCTAAAGATTTGTCAAATTTTTTTAATCTTTTCAAATAAACAAAGTTTGGTTTCATTGATTTTCTCTATTGTTTTCTATTCTCTAATTTGTTTATCTCCCCTTGAATCTTCATTATTTCCTTCCTCCTGCCTGCTTTGGGTTTAGTTTGCTCTTCTTTTTCTAGTCCATAAAGTGTAACGTTATTGATTTGAGATCTTTCTTTTTTAATGTAGGAATTTGGAGCTATACATTTCCCTCTGAGCTTTTGCTGTAACACATAAGTTTTGGTATATTGTGTTTTCATTTTTATTCATATCTAGTCTTAATTTCCCTTGTGATTTCTTCTTTGATCCACTAGTTGATTAAAAGTGTGTTAATTTCAGGATGCCTAGGTGGCTCAGTAAGGCATCTGACTCTTGATTTCGGCTCAGATCTCAGGGTCCTGGGATCAAGCCCCACATCAGGCTCCCTGCTCAGCAGGGAGTGTGTTTCTCCCTTCACCCTCTGCCTCCTACCCCCTCCTGCCCATGCTGTCTTTCTCTCTCTGTGTCAATCGAATAAATAAAATTTTTAAAAAAGAAACTTAGACATGTGAATCTTATAACTGAATATATCTGCAAATCAGATTATTCCCTTTCCCCAGGGTTTGCTGTAGTGAGTTAGTTTTGTTTTGCTTTATGTTGTACAAGTTTCTGTGCCAGGGACTGGCCTGGGTTAAAAATTTGAGATCTTCTTAGGTTTTTTGTGAGCCTGTCTTTCCATGGGCATGTGCAGTGCTTTTAATATCCCAAAAATGTGATTGCTCTTGATGTCCTAGTTCTTAAAATGTCTGATCCTCCAAAGAAGAAAAGTGAAAAAAAAAAAAAATAGGTACAATTCATTTAAATCCTCTGTAAGACACTTTCTGCCAGCGAGGGTTGAAATAGTGGCAGCCAGTTTCTGTGCCTGCACAGTGATGAGAAGCAGCAATGATAATACAGAGCACTGAATCTTGATACTCAGAGAAAAAGTCCGTATTGCTCACCCTGGCTACAGCAAGACATGAGCATGGCTGCCTGCCACAGGACTATGGACTGGATGACAGGTAGTCACTACCATTCTTAAGGCTGAAATTGACCAAAATTAACTGAAATTGCAAGCATTCAAATAGTCTCCAGAGTTCCAAAATAGTTACTTCAGAGAGTTTCTGCAAGTACAATTGCTGTTTAGGTAGAGAAATAAATTTGTGGTATTTCCTACTCCCCCATCTTCTCTAAGGTTACTCTAGACAATCCATTTTTAAATCTAACTTTTTATAATTATTTGAATGTTCACCAAAATTTAAATGCAACAATAAGAAAACTACAAAAATAGTAACTTCAAATGATAACTATAACCAAATAAATGGACTGTGAAGTGTCTTTTTAGGCAAGTATAAATAGTTGTGCATACTTATATAATACTATAGTATGTTTACTGTGTTACAAAGTTGTGATGCTCCTTTTAAAAATGAAACCATGAATCATTCTGAATCTCAGCTAAGAAACTGGCCTAAATTCACACTGTTAGAAAAATAGTATGGATTCCAACCCTGGACTGTCTAATTTCAGAGCTCATAGTCTTTCTACTAATTCTCCTTACATTTCTATATATCTGGACTTCAGTTTGAGCTGGCAGTTATTATGTATAATGACTTACATAGGCTATGGAGCTAAACTGTGTTCCAATTTTTCTCCATGCCTTACTAGCTATGTGATCTTGGGCAAGGTACCTGTGTGACTTAGTTTTCTCATCTGTAAAATGAAAATAGCAACATTGTGTACACTTCTAATATGAGATTGTTCTAAAAAATAATCTATATAGTCTTTGCAAAAGTGCTTGGTTCAGAGTTCTAATCATTAAAATGTTAATCATCCTCTATAAAACAAAGAGATACTTAGGTAGGGATTCTATAAATTAACTTCAATAATTAGAGTTTTAAGACTTCAGCTCCTCATTATTCCAGAACAAATGAAAACAGAGTGTCCCAAAGCAGTAAAAAAGCTTGAAGGATCGCAAAAGATATAAGTGGTAATAATGAAACAAAGTAGTGCCTTTAACTGGAATTTTGTAATTAAGAATCTTTGGTATATTGTTCATTTTGTGTGATGAGGTTTGTTTTTAAATTAAATGAATCTAAATTTAATTATTCTCAATAAATCAATATTATTACCTAGAAAATACTGGTATGTGTGGATACACTCATGGCAGGGAATAATTAGTAATACAAACTGCTAGGGATAATATCTTCCTTAAACAACTCATCTTTAATACATTAACTCTTTAAGAATGATAAAAATATTATACTTGTCAACCAATACCTTGATATAGATTTCAATCAATATATAAAATAAGGAACATGTATAATACATAAAATCAAGAGGGTCCCTAAATAACAAATTTAGCCATAGCAAGATTCACCTAACCAATATTTATTAGGAAGGAAGGAAGGAAGGAAGGAAGGAAGGAAGGAAGGAAGGAGGGAAGGAAAGAAAGAAAAAAGAAAAGAAAAGAAAGAAAGAGGAGAGAAAAAAAGAAAGACAAAAAGAAAGAAAAAGAAAAAGAAAAAAAGAAACGAAAAAAGAAAAAGAGTATGTGGTAAAAACTCCTTTATAACACTCTGCTGGAAAACAAGATGGTTTAATCACCTCATGTGCCAACTATGTTACATCAAGTATTTCAAAATGCCATGTTTTCTGAAGTTAGATTATTTAAACCCTATTTCTCCAAAATGCTGCAAAAGCATAGGGTTCTGTGTTATATAGAGTTCTATATTTTCATATGCAATGGTAAGTACTATGTGTATATATTATACATATACATTAAAAAATGTGTAAAAATAATAATGTAAACAAGTAATAAATACTGATTTGTGGTGTTTTTACCAAAAGATCAGTCGTTTCTGAGCTATCCGAATTAATATCAAACTCAAAGACCATTTTTCTCTTTTTATTACTTTCTTCCATGGGTACATTCTTGTTTTCTCTTTGCTGAATTTTTAGTTTCGTTGGTGTCTTCACAGTATATGCCTATCCAAAAAGAAAAACAACATATTATCCCATCAAAAAAAACCTGTATTATTAATAAACGTAAGTTGAATCTTCAGTAATAACTCTCCATTATTAGAGGGATGTAGAGACTTTTTATAAGAATTTCATTCAGATATTTTTGATACTAAAACTTCTTTCTTCAAACAATTTATAATAGTGGACTTTTTCTTTGCCCTTCCCTTCTACTTACTGAATAAAATAATGGCAGGAGAGAGGTGCGGAGACAGACTCTCCAGCATCAGCAGTCAACAATCTTAAGAAAAGAGGGACTTTGATTTTTCTAACAATAATTAAGACCAAAGAACTGAATGAGCTTTGCTCTTTCTACAAAAATCCTTACGGATTTATGAGAAATTAGGTATGTTTATATTTTGTTCATAAAGTAATTCACATTAGTCAGTGTTTAGTATTCCATATTACCCTGTAAGTTTTATAATTTTTTTAAAGTATCTTTAAAAAGTTAGGGCAGTGACATCAGCAAAAATGGCAGAGTAAGGTATTCCAAAAATTTGCTCTTTCATAAAGCAATAAAAATACTAGTAAAATGGTCAAAGTCAGCTTTTTCAGAACTCTGGAAATTAACCAAAAGCTTGCCACAAACTGTAGTGCTTATTTTTTTTTAATGGCTGAACCTCTGTAAGAACAGCAAGCTTTGTGGTGTTTTAACTTTTCTTTATCCCAGCCCCCATGCTCTATGTTACCCTTAAAAAAATAACATCCCATACTCTTGGTCCAGCCTGAGACCACTAGATAGAGCAGAACAGAATTGAGAGCTCTTTCAAAGCTTTATTCCCAAAAAGTTGTCATTATTTAAACTGTCTAGTGGTTCTCTAAAAGACCTCACTTACAAGGCTGTCTGTATTTAACCTGACTTAGAGCTCATTCAGTACAAAAAGCTTTCTCCTTGGTGTGAAATACAGCATAGAATTTGTCAAAACAATTATAGGCAAGTGTTTTAACTTTGCATCTCCATGAGGCAATAATTTTAACAGGGCAAATGACAGACTAATCAAAAACTTCAAAAGAACAGGTAGGAAAAGAGACATCCACAGGGGCTTTGAAAAGCTCTGACATTAATGGAAAAAATAAAATAAAATCTACAGTTAAAAGTGATGTACCAATGTATGTTTCCTAGTTTTGACAAATGTACATGGTAATGTAAGATGTTAACAATGTGGAAAATTGGGTGATAGATATAAAGGAATTCTCTATACTACCTTTGCAACTTTTCTATAAATCTAAAATTATGGTAAAAAAATGTTCTTTTTAAAAAAAGTAAGGTCACCACATCCATGAGAATAGCTAAAATCAAAAAGATAAAAAAATACCATGTGGTAGCAAGGATGTGGAGCAACTAGAACTCTCATTCACTGCCAGCTAGGATGTAAAATTGACGTAATGAATTTTTTGAAAAACATGACTGGCAGTGTGATACAATAAGAAATATATATTTAGTCTTTGTCCCTGGTTCCTGACACAGAACTTCTAAAACCCATGTAATTTCCTGAGTAATAGGGGTGATCAGGGCATCTTTTGGTACAATATTCGGTCTTTGTCCCCCTGTGTTAGGAGTCTTCTGTTATTCAAAATAAGCTCCTTTCAACTGGACCAGAGTTAATGCTAATGAAATAACTGGCAGTAAAGGTCTCCTAGATAACTTCAGGATGCTGGCTGGTCACCAGAAAAATCAAGGCTTGATTAGAAGTTTGTAACCCTTTCAGCTACACCCCTTGACCTCCTGGGAGGGGAAAGGGTTTGGAAATTGAGTTAAACACCAATGGCCAATGATTTAACCAGTCATGCTAGGTGATGAAACCTCCCTAAAAACCCCTAAATGATGGGGTTCTGAGAATTTCCATGTGGGCAAATACACAGGGGTACTGAAAGGGGGTACTCCTGAAGAAAGCATGGAAGTTCTATACCCCCTCCCTCACACCTTGCCCTATTTATCTTTTCCATTTGGCTGTTTTTGAGTTGTATCCTTTATAATAAACTGATAATAGTAAGTAAAGGAATCTCCTGAGTTCTGATCATCATTCTAGCAAATTAGCAGACCTAAGGAGGGGGGTTATGGGAACCCCAATTTAGAGCCGGTTGGTCAGTAGTACAACAAGGGGCAAACCAGGATTGTAACTACTGTCTGAAGTGGAAGCAGTCTTGTGGGACTGAACCCTTAACCTGTAGGGTCTACATTAACTCCAGGTAGTGTCAGAACTTAATCAAGTTGTAGGACAACTAGGTGTTGTCTGGAGAATCAGAGAACTGGCATGGGAAAAAAAACCAAACCACATGTTTCATATCACAGTAAAAAAAAACAGCTCAGGCAGTATCTACTAAAATGGAACATATTATACATAACCCTATAACCCAGCAATTTCATTCCTAAAGACATACCCAACCAAAATGCATACAGGTCAAATACCAGAATTTTTATAGCAAGACTATGCATAAAAGCCCAGTCTGGAAACTACCCAAAGTCCACTAACAATATAATAGATAAATAAACTATGGTACATCACACAATGGAATACTATATAGAAATATAAATGGAAAATCTACAACTTCAAGCAACAATATGGATGAGTCCCACAAACATAATATTAAGTGAAAAAAGTCAAAACAAAAATAATGATTCTATTTATAGAAAATTCAAAAACAGGGAAAAGAGAAAATACAAAAACAGGTACATCTAATATTAGAGTTGGAGCAGTATCTGGCCTTGGGGGAGAAGCCAGTGACAAAAAGGGAGGCAAGGTGATAGTAACATTCTGTGCTTTAATCTGAATGCTGGTTATAAAGTCATGTTTAGTTTGTGAAGAATCATCAAGTTGCATAATTAAGATCTGTGCATTTTTCTTGCATATATTTCAATATAAAGTTTTTTTTAAGTAAGGTCATTCTATACAAAGATCACTTCATATTCTGAATAATATAAATAGAACAAAATAATTTTACGTAAAAGCCTAAGTTATGTAGTTTACTAATTTTCATAATTTCCACAGTGTGGATAATACTGTATACATAATAGGATGTGAGAGAGACTCTTCCTTTTGCTCTGGAATTGTCAACTGGGGCACAAAGCTGCAGAAAAAAAATGTTAGAAACCCATATTCTAAAGAAAGCAACCTATGGTTAAAGCCAGATCCTTCTCTAGGGCTTATTAAAAAGTGGTTAAACTGGCCCTACAATCACCAAACACCTCCTTTCTTCCCAGTTATTTTAAGAAAATTGGAAGGGAAAGGCATCAAATTTCAGCTTAGAGGGATAGAGAGAGGTCGAAATATTTTTCCCTTCAATTTCCAAGGCAGGTGAGGAGACAACTCTTAACAGCAGCCTAACAAAAAATAGGGGTGCCTTCAAGAAGGATTGGCATCTCATTCCCTTACTAGATATAAATTTAGGAAGAAATTTTATCTGTCTTTGTGTCTGGCTGGATAGTTTAGAGTAAAAAGAAATTAGAGAGAGATGGATGGTGGGAGGTGGGGTCAGAAATGTAGCATTCCGTACTGCTGTTTAGCATGGAAATGTTGAATGAATTCCCCATGGATTAAGTGAACATGTGAAAATAGCTAGTAATTGAGCCATCTTGGTGGTGGCACCTGATCCACCGAGGGCTGACTGCTAAGTAAAGGACTCTAGCAACAAGACGATACAAAGTAAACAGCAAACGGTAGTAACTGGAGTGATACTGAAAAATGTTAAGTCAGAATCGGATTTCCCACATCAGGGAATGCCATCAGGTGAGTGACAGAAAGTTATGGAATCTGCCCAAAATGTCATTAAGTGGACAGTGATATTAAAAAACAAAACAAAACAAAACAAAAACACTATTTCATGCTGGTATCACAAAAATTGAATTGGTTTTATATTTATATGTGTGATATCAGATATATGGTATATGATACCAGAACCTTCTTTAACTAAAAAAATTATGACCTTCTTAGAAACTTTAGCAACCAACCTTTGGTAATGGTGTAGATAAAGTACTTTTGGCAGATGTCCATAAATAGTCCCTTTTATCTTTGGATTTACCATGGTCAGCTGATGTGAAGTTTCGAGATATATTTTGTGAAGGAGCTGCTTTAGAATCAAATTTCCAATAATGAGTTTCAGGTGTTTCCAATAAAGGTGTCGGTATTTTCTATATTGAACAACAAAAGGAAATAAAATCATCACTACGTCATTTTAATTAAAGTGCAGCAATTAGTAGAAATAACACTGGAATAAACTAGAATTTATCCTCAAATTTATTATTAATTAGATAACTTTGAATAAATTATCCTTATCTTGTCACTTTATTTCCCCATTGAAGATGAAAATGGTATCTGCCTTTCTGTCTTCACAGAGCTGCTATGAAAAGAAATAAAATGTCTCAACTCTCTGACTAAAAGTTGACGATTTGCTGAAGAGAAAAATCTCTATTCCTGCTGGCAAAGAGCCTTTCTTTGTGGTTCATTACAATAGTCTAAAAGCCAGAGGGCAGTTTATTCTCATTTCTATCCATTCTCTTTTATGCTTTCATATTTCCTCTCTCTCATCTATAAAAATATCAGCCTTTTCCTATCCACCAGGCTTACTCCCCACCAAAAAAAAAAGAAAGAAAAGAAAGGAATATAGCGAAGAAAAATAATAAAAGTAAAGAACCAGAAAAAATTTCCAGGAGGAGAAAAATGACTGTTGTCCTCAATTCTGAAGATAAACAAATTACAAATTTACTCTAAATACTTAGACTTTATTTCAACTCAATTTCTTCCATTTTCTTTCTCTCTACCTTTATATGTATCTTCCCTTCAGACCTGACCTATCTTTCTAGTAAAAGTTCATAATAACCGCTTTAGTGGAATTGTGTTAGCTGCTTTCTAATTTTATCACTTCCTTTGATCACCACCATCTCCATGAATACAATCGTGGCAACTACAAGAAAAAAATGGAACACGCATGCACACACACATACACATACACACACACACAGAGCTATTCTCAAAAGTTCAATGGTTAAATCTGCAGTAAATTTAAGTTAGGAGGCTATAGAATGCAGGATTAAGAGGTAACCACATGTGCTATAAAAACACGGACGGACTAATTGATGGACGAATAGATAAGGAAGATGTGGTATACACACACACAGAAGAATATTACACAACTGTAAAAAAAGGATGAGATTGTGCCATCTGAGACACCATGGATGGACTTCAAGGGTATTATGCCCAAGTGAAATAAGTAAGACTGAGAAAGACAAATACCATATGATTTCACTCATGTGGAATCCAAAAAAATGGTTAAGTGAATAAACAAACAAAAAAGCAGAATCAGACCTATAAATGCACAGAACAAACTGATAGTTGTCAGATGTGGGGAAGATGGGCAAAACAGATGAAGGGAAATGGGAAATACAGGCTTCCAGTTAGGGAATGAATAAATCATGGGAATAAAAGGCACAGCATAAGGAAAACAGTCAATGATATTGTAATAGCAATGTAACAGGACAGAAGATCAGCATAATGTACAAACTTGTTGAATCACTATGTTGTACACCTGAACTTATGTAACACTGTGTGTGTGTGTGTGTGTGTGTGTATAACAATCATTGGACCAGGAGTCAAGTAATAGGCTCTTTTCTCCTGGATCTTATACTATCTTGCTGGGTGATATTAAGTAATCTCCAAGTATCTCTAGGCTTAAATTTATCCATCTATATAATCAAGGGACTAAAAGATGATTTGTAAGTTTCTGCCCAGTTCTAGTGATCTCAGTTCATAATCCTCTTTCCAGCAGGTATAAATTTTGGTAGCATTTTTTCACACAGTTGTATTTCTGTATTCTCCTTCCTATATATTTCTACATCATAGGTGATAATACAATTTTGATGAAAGCAAATTTTTTCTGCTGTTTTCATGGACAAATTTTTCTCTCCTCAAAAGCCTGAGAATGACAACTACACCATCTTGTGGCCAAGTCTGGGAATTTAACACTTCAGCCCGCTTGAAAGAAAATGCACCCCATTTCTAGAATACGGAAATAAACCTCTTCATAATAAGTCATAGAAATGCATGTACTTTCCTACAAGTCACATTCTTTTCTGAATGTTACACTTCCAGTGATGCATGTACAAGCATATCTCATTTCATTGCACTTCATTTTATTGCACTTCACAGATGCTGTGTTGTTTGGTGTTTTTGGTTTTTGCAAATTGGAAGGTTTGTGGCAACCCTGATCCAGGCAAGTCTATCAGCACCATTTTTCCAACAGCATTTGCTCGCTTAGTGCCACTTGTGTCACATCTTGGTAATTTTTTTTTAAAGATTTTATTTATTTATTTGACAGAGAGAGAAAGAGCACAAGCAGGCAGAGTGGCAGGCAGAGAGAGAGGGAGAAGCAGACTCCCAGCTGAGCAGGGAGCCGGATGCGGGGCTCGATCCCAGGACTTTGGGATCAAGACCAGAGCCGAAGGTAGATGCCTAACCGACTAAACCACCCAAGCACCCCACATCTTGGTAATTCTTACAGTATTTCAAATTTCTGCATTATTATTATTATATTTGTTATAGTAATCAGTGATTGGTGATCTTTGATGTTACTATTGTTTAGGGACACCATGAACCACATCCAAATAAGATGGCAAACTTAACTTAAATGCTTTATGTGTTCTGGCTGCTCCACTGACGTACTATTCTCCATCTTTCTCCCTTTCCTTGAGCCTCCCTATTCCCTGAGACAAAACAAAACTGAAATTAGGCCAGTCAATAACCCTACAATGGCTTCTATGTGTCCAAGTGAAAAAAAAGTCACCCGTCTCTCACTTTAAATCAAAAGCTAGAAATGATTGAGCTTAGAGAGAGGAAGGCATGTTGAAAGCTGAGGTAGGCCAAAAGCTAGGCCTCTTGCACCAACCACTTAGCCAAGTTGTGAATGCAAAGGAAAAGTTCTTGAAGGATACTAAAAGTGCTACTTCCAGTGAGCACACAAATAAGAAAGTGAAACAGCCTTTACTGATATGGAGAAAGTTTTAGTGGTCTTGATATAAGATCAAACCAGTCATAATTCTACGTTAAGCCAAAACCTAATCCGGAGCAAGGCCCTAACTCTCTTCAATTCTGTGAAGGTGGAGAGAGGTGAGAAGCTGCAGAAGAAAAGTCTGAAGCTAGCAGAGGTTGGTTCATGAGATTTAAGGAAAGAAGCCGTTTCCATAACATAAAAGTGCAAGGTGAGGAGTGCCTGGGTGCCTCAGTCTTAGGTTAAGCATCTGCTTTGGCTCAGGTCATGATCCCAAGATCCTGGGATCCAGCCCCTAGTCAGGCTCCCTGCTCAGCGGGAATCTGCTTCTCCCTCTCCCCTCTGCCCACCCCCCACTCATGCTCTCTCTCTAATATATAAAATCTTTAAAAAAAAAAAAAAAAGTACAAGGTGAAGCAGGAAGTGTTAATGTAGAAGCTGCCGCAAGTTATCCAGAAGATCTAGCTAATTAAGTACTGAAGGCATCTACACTAAAGAGTTTCAAGGTAGGCAAAACAGCCATATACTGGAAGATGATTCCATCTAGGACTTTCATAAGCAGAGAGAAGAAGTCAATGCCTGCCTTCAAAATTTCAAAGGACAGGCTGACTCCCTTATTAGGGACTAATGCAGCTGGTGACTTCAAGTTGGAGCCAGTGCTCATTAACCATCCTGAAAATCCTAGGGCCCTTTAAGAATATGATAAATCTACTTGCCTATGCTCTATAAATAAAACAACAAAGACTGGATGACAGCGTATCTGATTACAACCTGGTTTAACTAAATATATTAAGCCCACTGTTAAGACCTACTGCTCAGACAAAAAGATTCCTTTCAAAATATTATTGCTCATTGACAATGCACCTGGTTACCCAAGAGCTCTGATGGAGATGTACAAGATTAATGTTGTGATGCCTGCTAATACAATATCATTCTGCACCCCATGGATCAAGGAGTCATTCTTTCAAGTCTTATTATTTAATAAGAAATACATTTTGTAAGACGATAGCTGCCATAGATAGTGATTCTACTGATGATCTGGGAAAAGTAAATTCAAAATCTTCTGGAAAGAATTCACCATTCTAGATGCCATTAAAAATATTTGTGATTCGGGCACCTGGGTGGCTCAGTTTGTTAAGCGACTGCCTTCGGCTCGGGTCATGATCCTGGAGTCCCGGGATCGAGTCCCGCATTGGGCTCCCTGCTCAGCAGGGAGTCTGTTTCTCCCTCTGGCCCTCTCCCCCTTCATGTGCTCTCTCTCTCTCTCAAATAAATAAATAAAATCTTTAAAAAAAATAAAATAAAAATATTTGTGATTCATCAGAAGAGGTCAAATATCAATATTAACAAGAATTCAGAAGAAGTTGATTCCAACCCTCATGGATGACTATAAGGAGTTCAAGACTTCCCTGACAGAAATAACTGCAGATGTGGTGGAAACAGTAAGAAAACTGGAATTAAAAGTGGAGCCTGAAGATGTAACTTAATGGCTGCAATCCCATGATAAAACTTTAACAAGTGAGGAGTCGCTTCCTATGGATCAGCAAAAAGAAGTGGTTTCTTGAGATGAAATCTACTCCTGGTGAAGATTGTTGAAATGACAACAAAAGATTTAGAATATTATGTAAACTTAGTTGATAAATCAGCAGCAGCATTTGAGAGGATTTATTCTGATTTTGAAAGAAGTTCTAACTGTGGGTAAAATGCTATCAAACGGTTCGTGAAAGGAAGAGTCAATGAAGCAAACTTCATTGTTGTCTTATTTTACAAAATTGCCATGGTCATCCCAATTTTCAGCAACCATTACCCTTGATCAGTCAACAGCCATTAATAATATCAAGGCAAGACCTTCCACCAGCAAAAAGATTACAACTTATTGAAAGCTCACATGATGGTTAGCATTTTTAAGCAATACAATGTTTTTTTAAAGATTTTATTTTTTTCCATTTTTTATTATGTTCAGTTAGCCAACATATAGTATTTTAAAATTAAAGTATGAACATTGTTTTTTAGACATAATGCTATTGCACACTTAACAGACCACAATACAGTGTACATATAACTTTTATATGCAGTGGGAAACCAAAAAATTCATTTTACTTGCTTTATTGTGATATTCACTTTGCTGCATTGATCTGGAACTGAACCCACAAGATCAAGGTATGCCTGTATACATAATATTCACAATTTTCTGTTGTATTTTTATTTTTTTAAATTGAAGTAAAATTAACATATAGTATTATATTTGTTTCAGGTGTACAATATAACGATTCAACAATTCTATACATTACTCAGTCCTCATCGTTGTATTTTTTAAAACAAACACTTATATGGCATTTCCTATGTGCCAAGCACTATTTATTTACAAATGCCTTACAAATATTATCTCATTTAATCCTTTTAACAACTTTAAAAAATAGATACTATTCATTATCCCTTTACAGTTGAACAAGCTGAGGCATAAAGAAGTAACTTGCCCAAATCAGAAATATTTGATAAACCTAATAATTATTATATATAAGGCTTATGATATTTCAATATTGTTGGAATAAAGTATAGCAAATAAAAGCCTATTTAAATTTTTTATTCTTTTATTACTTCCTCATTATTTGCAATTTATATATCCAGAACCTCAGATAAAATATATGGCATTTACTAATCTACTTGAAAGCAGAAATAAATAATGAGCATATTTTACTGGAATTATACGTGACCCAAAACAACTCCATAAGAATATGTGATATATACTTTCATAATCTGAACACATTCTATATTTGGAAATTAATATTAGATGCTCCTTACCTATTTATGAACAAAAAAAAAATTTCCAGGTAGATGTTAGAAAACAAGCTGGATTATAAAGAAAAACCAGGAGAATTATATAAAACTCTTACCTTATCTCTTTTTTCGAGAGTAACTATGTTCTCTTTTGCCTCTCTTTTGAGTTTTTCCTATTAAAAATGAGTGCACACAATGTAGTCACTACTATTATCAAAAATTAATGTTATTATCAAAATACTTCTAAGAAGTATTAACAAAGAAAGAATACTAAACTCTAAATCTTATAAAATAATGAAAAGAAAAAAAGAAAAACAAATTAGTTTCTTTCTACAGAGCTTATTTAGTTTTGATTATCTTTAAAATTCTGATCTGTCCAGTATGTATCTGTGGAATCTTGGTAAGTCTTTTAAAACTCTGAATCAACTTTCTCATTTGTAAAATGAAGTGGATGGATCAGATTATAGATGAAGAAATACACAAAAGTAGCTAACTGTAAAGAGCTATAAAGAGATCCAAAATATTATGGGCTTTTAGAGGCAGAATTCAGTTTTTCTGTGCATTGAGAAAGGGTACATTTCAGTTGGACCTTGAATAATGAACTTTTAACATGAGATAAACAAGGATGAGGGGGAAAGAAAGTACAAAATACTTAGGAAATAATACATCACTTTTGCTGGAGATTAGGGTGTATATATTCAGTAGAGAAAAAAGAAAAATTAACTCTGGCCTACAAAAAAGAATATGTACTATGCCTTTAATATGACAGTCACCTGGAGAACACAATTGTTACAGCCCCCAGGAAGCCTTCAAGGACGCAGAGAAGAGAAAGTTCCAACAGAGAACTTTAAGCAAACTTGCCTTGCCTGCCTATGAGGTCTATGCCAATATCAACCTTACTGAATGCTTTGTGTACACCATGCTATCTCTCCCAGAGTGTTGCTCCTAACCAGAGAACTCACTTCACCATGAAGAAGCTGGTAGTAAGCTAACGTAACAGTAATCACTATTCTTATTGCGTATCCTATCAATGACCAATAGTTGATCTTCAGTTATAGTGACAACTGGGATCTCCAATAAAGGGCTAGAATGCTCTCTTCTAGGATAAATTATATCCTCTGTACTAGCAAAATTGCACTGCCTCTCAGAGGACTTCTAGAGGCTTCTAGAGGACAGAAGGGAGAAAGCACCTCCCATGACTGCATTGTCTCTATAAAATTCTGGAGACTTTTGCTGGTCTGGAGATCTTACTTACAGTCTGTTCTAATACAACAGGTGTTTCCAAGGTGTGAATTATTAGCTCATACACAAACATATATCTTTAGTAGTGGTTAACTAATCATGAGTTCCCTAAGACCAAAGAGATAGGCAGTCCACTATGGTCCCTATTTAAATTGGATATCAAATATGCCTATAATATGGTCTGACAAACAGACAATTGACTTCAGCCACAGGAATAGAGAATGATGGCCCTGTACCCAAATTTCAAACTTGAATAAATTTATAAACCTAGAATCCTCCAAATTAAAAGAAAGCCTGGTAACTGTTGTAGAAGGATTTTGCAATAATATCACAAATACATACATTATCCCTTCTACTATCTTGTGCACTGAGAGAGATACTAAGACTTATGGGTAATTGGACATTGACTATTAACTAACACCAATTATTATAACCCAAAATGTTACTATTTTGTCATTAGTTCAAGTGCAGGTGTATTGGAGTCAGGTGATAAATGGCATTTAATCCAAGTCTACCTTACAGTGAGCCCATGGAACCATAAACCTAATCTGTGGTCATTTCTTAAGATCCTAAAGGCTGAATAGATAAACTCAAGTAAGTGCCATAATCTCCATATTGGTTCTAACCACAAAATGAGAGTTTTTAAGTTTAGAAGGACCAACTGGAAGACTCTGAAACTTTCCTCCATATCAAGAATATAAACAAATATATCAAATGCCACATCTCACCTAGGCAGAGATTCAGATCCATCAAACCGTGAAAGATGTAGAGAAGGTGATTTATCACAGTCCCACAAAGCCAACTTAATTGGAAAATTAAATTCACTGTTATCCAGTAACAGTTTTGTCATACCAATGGGTAAGTAACAGAGGCCAAAATAGGGATTGTGTATTGATTAGGATAAAAAATGAGAACTAAGAAAAAAGTTTCATATAAAAGATGAACTTATTTTGCAATAATATCACAAATACATACATGATCTCTTTATGAATATAGATGCAAAAATCCTCAACAAAATACTAGCAAACTGAATCTAGCAGAATATAAAGAATTTAACCAGAACCATGGTTAAAGAACAAATACATGTTTTTATTAATCTTGACAACATAAATTAACAAAATAAATATCAAAATTGTGTATGTGGAAGAAGAGGCAGTACGAGAAAGTGTTAGATATATTGTTTAAAAATATAAAGGTAACCAGTAAAATAACTGAAAGTACTACACACACCTTTTAAATCAACCAGACACACACACACACTTTAAAGAAAAATAAAATAAATATTAATATGTCATGTAAAATAAGATGACAAAAACATGATTCAATTATATATCATATCGATAAGGGATTAATAACCATAAGGAACTCCTATAAGTCAACAACAAAAACAACAACTAAAAAATGGGCAAAGGACTTGAATAGACAATTCTCCCAACAAGATATACAAATCACTAACAAGGGAAGGAAGTAATTAAGAATGTCAAAAACAAATTCAACAACAAAAACATACAATCTTATGCCATAATTTGTGATTCTAGTGAGGCTCAGCATGAGAGCCACACAGAGTATATTTGTGCTGATTTGACTCTAGTCAATATGGCTCTTAACCTAATCACCACTTGCACAATATTGGTGAAAGCAGACACAAATAACAAAGAGAGTAACTGTCACTAATATACCTGAATTGATAATAAGTATCTGAGGGGTAAGTGGGCAGTCCATTAAAAAAGAGGCCTAGAAAATGCATAGAGAGTGAAAATTTCAGAAAAAATGACTAAATTTTTTCATTTTGGTCTCTCTAGTCTGGACAAAGAAAGCACAACAACCACGCCCATAAAGAATTAATTATCCTTGCCAATAAATAGAACATACTAGCAATAAAGTCAAAAGACAAGTTTCAAAAAAAAAACAAAACAAAAAGAAAGAAAAGATTCCCCTGAAAGAGCAGAAAACACAAAAATAAGTGATTCACTGAAAAAAACACATGAATTTTGTCCTTTTCCTTGGTCTCCTCTTATCACCCTTTAAGTAGAATATACTAAATCATAATATCCTTATCTTTTCCCTCATAAAATTGGGTAAGGAAATTCAGCTTGAAGAGAGATTAGTAATATGGCAAAAAGTGAGTAACCATACACACACACACGCACACGCATGTACTGGAATATTACTTAGCCATGAAAAAGAGAGATCTTGCCATTTGCAGCACCATGAATAGACCTAGAGAGTATTATGCTAAATGAAATAAGTCAGACAGAGAAAGACACATACCATATGATTTCACTTATATGTGGAATCTAAAAAAACAAATGAACAAACAAACAAAGCAGAAACAGACCCATAAATACAAAGAACAAACTGATGGGTTGCCCAAGGGGAGATGAGTGGGGGGCTCACAAAATGGGTGGTGGAAAATAGGGAGATACAGGCTTCCAGTTATGGAATGAATAAGTCACAGGGATGAAAGGTACAGCATAGAAAATATAGTCAGTGATATTGTAATAGCATTGTATGATGACAGAGGGTAGCTACACTTAGGGTAAGCATAGCATAACATATAGAGTTGTCTGAATTTCTATGTTATACACCTAAAACTAATGCAACATTGCATGTCAAAATACTTCAATTTTAAGAAAAAGAATAACCACAACTTATCCTCTCAGATAGATACATGGGCTCTAGGGCTTCACATTGAGTTGGTGGAAAGATCTGAAGACTGAGGATAAACACATTACAAGAAAACTGCAGACCAATATCTCTTTATGAATATAGATGCAAAAAATCCTCAACAAAATACTAGCAAACTGAATCTAGCAGAATATAAAGATTATACATCATGACCAAATAGGATTTCTCCCAAGAATATAAGATTGGTTTAACATCTGAAAATCAATTAATGTAATACTTTGTATTAATAGAATACAAAACCACACAATCACCTCAATATACACAGAAAAAGCATTTCACAAAATCCAATGTGCTTTTATAATAAAAACATTCAACAAATTAGGAATAGAAAAGAACTTTCCCAACTTGATAAAGAGCATCTAGGTAAACTGAATTTCATCAAAATTAAAGAGTCTCTGCTACAAATAATACCATCAAGAAATAAAAAGACAATCCACAGAATGGAAGAAAACATTTGCATATCCTACATCAGATAAGGGACTGGTATCTAGAATATATAAGAATTCTTAAAACTCAAAAATAAAAAAACAAATAACCTAATTTTTAAATGGGTAAAGCATCTGAATATACATTTCTCAAAAAAAAAAATATACAAATGGCAATAGCACATGACAAGATGATAACATTATTAGGCATTAAAGAAATACAAATCAAAACAACGATATACCATGTCACACTCACTAGAATGACTATAATCCAAAAAAGTGTTTCTGAGGATGTGGAAAAATTGGGACTTTCATGCACTGATAGTGGGAACCCAAAATGGTAAAATTGGCTTGGAAAACAGTTGGGCAGTACCTTAAAATGTTAAGCATAGAAATATAATATTATCCAGCAATTCTACTCCTACATATATAGCCAAGAGAAATGAAAACATATACCCACACAAAATCTGTACACAAATATTCATAATAGCATGATATATAATAGTCAAACTAGAAACAACTCAAACTTCCATCAACTGATGAATGGGTAAATAAAACCTAGTATAGCCACACAATAGTATACTATTTAGCAATAGAAAGGAAATACTGATATACGCTGGGATGTGAATGGACCTTGAAAACATAATGTTAAGTGAAAGAAGCAGTCACAAGACCATATATTATATGATTCCATGTAAGTGAAATATCCAGAATAGGTGAATCAATAGAGACAAAAAGTAGCTTGATTAGTGGTAGCCTGGAGCTGGTGGATTTGGCGATGGAAAAAAAAGGAGGGGATAATAACTGCTGATGTATAT